GTGGACGTGGTACATTTCCAAACTTTTCGCCGACATTGTAGTCAGTGAGTATCGCCATTCTTGGCACCACACAACAACTCGTCAAAGAGACAAGTGGAGCCGATCATTTTACCAAACGTGTGCTAAACGGTTGTGGTATCTCCCCTTCTGCCCTGGGCTATTCATATTTCCTATATCTTTTATATCATACCTTCACTATCACAGGTAGTGTGGTGTGTTCCTTTAAGCAGCTTTCATGAAAACCATTCACACTCCACACTGTCGTTCTCTCCCCTTTCACTCTTGAGCTGGGAATGTGGACCAGAGTCTGCCATATTGTTTCTTTGACGAGTTGTTGTATGGTGCTAAGAATGGCGAGACTCACTGACGATGCCGACTACGATGCCGGCGAAACATTTGATAATGTACCACGTCCACAGTTCAACTTTGGAAATGATCAAGCAAACAATGGACCCCGGACTAGGTGCGTTCCAATAAGTCTTCCTACCAATATGAACATGTTGCGAAAACAATGTCAAACAACCTCTATACTACTTTCCTTTGTCCGTTGATATCATCTTCTATGCGATGTCCTCCCATAGTCTCCGATGGATGAACTAAACCAAAATGTCGCATTTCCACTGTCCTTGCTGAAGTTCGAATCTCGCCCAGTCTACCCAAAAGAGTGGGCAAACTTCTCGCCGACTGCCTCCTTCCAATCTCCTGTTCGTTGGGCTCCTTTGAAACAGGAGTTCCAAGGCATTTTGATAATCTGTTCACGTGTGTTTTCTCCATATGAGGCCAGTCTTGTGGGGAGTGTTTCTCTTTCATTCAGATTCGTACGAATTTCCCATTTCATTATCCCCGATGAAGCCTCCGGACTAGTTTGCAAGCATCGTTCTTCCGACTCACTTGTCTTCTTTTCATAATCTCTGTCCTGCCATACAATCAACACGACCTGTAGGTTTATGATGAGAAAGTGATTCCAAAGAATCTCTAAATAGAAATTGTTTGACTTTGTTTTCGCAACTCGGTCATATTGTTAGGT